TCTTACTAGTTGGATTGATAGCGACCAAGGGCGGAGGTGGAAATGTATGAAATGCAAATGTATGAATGTAAGAAAATGCATGGGTATGCAAAAAATATTTTTTTGGCTTTTAAGGGTATACGAAAATATTTTCATGGAGACGTAATACAATGCAAGGTTAGAATGAAGATAAACCTAAGGACACCCTACACGATTTTTAGGGATATATATACAATGTGAAACCCCTACAAGTTAGAGATTATTATACAACAAAGGAACACCTACAAGCTATGTATTAAGACAGACAAAAGATAACCCTACGGGCTAGGGATTATGACTTACAAAAGGTAATCCCTACAGGCTAGGGATTATAACAAATTTAAGGGAATCCCTATGGACCTAAGGGTTGTAATTGATAAACTTAAACCCATGTGGGTTTAGGATAGTGAATATCCTATACAGGAATAGGGTATGTGAATACCCTATATCGGTTTTGAAATAGATATAGAGATGAGGATACCTTTATGGGTTAAGAGGGTAGGATGTTGATAGAATAACCTATAGGAGAGCTCCTATAAAGGTTCTAAATTGTTCTATCCTTACCCATAAGGTGGCTTCCTTAAGGGTATCATGGATTACACTAGAGGGAAAGGCACAAGGATCTCCCTTAAGTGAAGCCTCATTGCAAAACTTTTGTCTCTAAGGTCGTACAAGGTCTCAACAAGAGATTTTGGTTTAGGGTTATACAAAAAGTCATAGGTTTTATTCCAAAGTACTATCCTCCAAGAGGATACGTCCTGAGACATATTCCTTTTTTGAAATTCAACCGACTTTAGGCGTAGTCATCACAAAAACTCATAGGGATGATATATTCCCTTGGCCAATAGACATACCTTCTTTCTAAGGTTTTGAATAATTTTGAATTTTAAATTCCACCAACAAAAAAATAAAATTGTAATAAAGATAATGTAAAAAAAATAATATAAATAAACCAAAAATGACAAATATAGAAACGATAGCATATCAAAAATAGAAAAGAAACCTTAGAAAAACCCTAAACCTAAAAAGAGGGAAAGACTCTAAAACCCTAGGGTTGTGTTTCCCCAGCAGAGTCGTCAACTGTAATAACCGGCAAAAAATATAGAATCGCCACCATTAATTTTTACCCTAAGACGAGAATATAACGGAATAACCCTAATTGATGATACATAGATTCTAAGTTTTTGACTCACTTTAGACGAAGGGAAGGTGTTAGGTACTCTTCATCTACCTTGTTCACAAGGATACTAGGATTTAGGTTTAAAGTTTAGCAATAGGGTTTTAATTTTTTAGTTAGGGGACTCGCTTCTGTTTTTAAGTCGTATGCCTACGTGTCCTCTTATGAGGAATCAGAGTCTCAGTTCGTAGTTCATAATGTTGGTTGGTGTTTTTTATAGGATTGCATAGAATTGATTTCGAATTATCCTTGAACCTTGTCTGGGTTGTAAGTTGAGTGATCGTAGACGCAATTCGCAGTTAATTTTAAAAGTAATTATATTTAATCTTTTTTTCGAAAATGTCTTAAGTTTTATTATGTTAGTTGAAAAATGGTTTGATCGTTGTTAAGCTATTTTAAGTGTTTCATTGATAAAGAGTATAGTATGACACATAACGGAGTGAGGATATTAAGGGTCCAAGTTCAGAAATTGAACATGGCCCATTTACTCACAGGGGTGTAAAATTAATACTAGGTGGTGTATTAGAAGAAAATCTGTACCCAGACATATTTTGAGCCCAGATTGGCTAAGGGTGTGTTTTGCAACAGGCTAGTCAAATATGAGGGTCTGGTAAGTGAGGGTCCAAGTTCAGATAATGAATTAGGCCCAAAATATAGGTGGGGTGTAAACTTAGTTTAGTAGTAAAATATAGGGGTGTGTAAGTAGTAAGGGCCCATGTTCAGAAATTGAACTTGACCTAATTAAACAACGGGGTTTAGTAATATCTTTGTAAAATATTAAATTAATTAATTGAGAAAAAGTTATTTGTATTTTTGTTTATAAAGGATGAATATTTTGATTTAATAATAAATAAATAAAACTAATTAAATTTGTGCGCTATTAATAGGATAAATAAAAATTATTTACATCCTAAAAGATAAAAAGGAAAATCAAATTAAAAATAAATTATTTAATATTATAAAATGACCTACATAGAAACTAAATACTATGAACGAAATTAGTTTCAACAGTATATAAAACTTAGCCTACAACTTATTTGATTATAAATTCTATACAATTCAACCTTGTTGTATTATCCTTAATATTAAAAATTAGAGAGAACAAAACAAAACAAACAAAAAAATTAGAATCGTGACTAGTGCCTACTATCTCCGATTTTTCTACACCACTTAGTGTCAATACTCATGGTTCAAAGGAGTCAAATATATATATATATATATATATATATATATATATATATATATATATATATATATATATATATATATATATATATATATATATATATATATATATATATATATATATATATATATATATATATATATATATATATATATATATATATATATATATATATATATATATATGATAAAATAAATAAAACATAAGCATAAGTAAAAAGATTTGCCTGAAGATGACGGCAGCGGCGGTGAAAATCTGTGTGCAGAGGTTGATAGTGTTAGAAAACTCGCCCCAAATTGTGAGAAAAATTTTAGGTGTTCTGTTCAGAACCCTAAAATAATTGTTGATAAGATTGTTGATCTCCAAATAATTATTGATTGAGACTTCAGGATTTCTTTGTTGTTGTTCTTCGATGTGAAGAGCAACAACTTTTAGGAGTACTCGAGTGAGTTGTTGACGAAAAATAGTATGAAAGAGTAACCTATTTATAGTGATAATTATGTCAACAAATTAGGAAATAAAGTTAATTGACAAATCAAATTTTTCTTGGTCACCAAGATAATCAATCATAAGATGGGTGTGACGCAAATTGACACTGATTGATCAATAAAAAACAATTAAATATAAAAAAGAAATATTTTTGGTATTTATTATAATTTTTGCACTCAATTTTGGTAAAAAGTGCATAAAATCAAATAAATAAATTTTTTTAAAATGCATTAATTAAAAGTACGAAAATAATATTTAAATAATAAAAAAATTACTTTTGTGATTTTTTTTAAATATAAATGAAAATAAAATTAATAACATATAGACAGAAAAATATTCAAAGTTCACCAAGTGGGATTCAAACTCATGACTTTATATTTGCAAGCTTTATTTCTTATCAATTATGCTATGTTGCTTATTTGAAATAAAAATTCAATTGAACGTATATGAATACGAGCAAGGATTTGTTATTTTACAAAATACAAATAAATTATTATATTTTTTTTTAAATAAGAAAAATAATTTAAAATGAATATTTATAAAAACCAAAGAATGTTAGCATAAACGAACCAAAAGAATTTTAAAACTTAATTTTAAAAATAATTTTGATTGTAATACCGAGGAAGACAAATTTGAAGTATGACAGAAAGTGTGCCACCTACTTATGAAAACTCTTGTAAAAGAATTTTGATATTTGCATTAGGTTATTACAGTTTGGCTATCAAATTAAATTGTTGGATTTTCATATAAAGATTTTTGTCGCCCTACGGGGTAACAATATTGATGTATTTTCACAAAAAGATCTTTGATGCCCTACGAGATGATTAAAATGTTGGATTTCCATAAAAAAAAATTTCTGTCGTGTATGAACAACAGCACCATAGAGATATTCTTCAATCTCAAGAAATAATCAACTAAGTCTTTCCTGAGGAACTCATCAAAGAATTGTCAGGACAGAAAGTCTCAATTAAGTCTCGCCTGAGAGACTTGCCTAAGTCTCGTCATAAAGACTCAACTAAATCTCGCCTGACAAAATCACACGTCGCATCAGAAAGACTCAAGTAACTCTCGCTTGAGGGACTCACCTAAGACTCATCAGAAAGACTCGACTAAGTCTCTCCTGAAGGACTCGCCTAAGTCTAATTAAGAATACTCGACTAAGTCTCACCCGAAGGACTTACCTATGTCTCGTCAAGAAAGACTCAACTAAGTCTCGCCTAAGTCTCATCAAGAAGACTCAACTAAGTCTCGCTTGAGAGACTCTCCTATGTTTCATTTAGAAGGTTTACCTTAAGCCTCGAGGGTCTATGATAGGAATAAAGTTTCGATAAAGCTCATATGAAAAGCCCGAAGATGAGTAAGGGACTAAAATACTTTAGCTTCAATGAACCATCGTGCTTGAGGGAATGTGCAGTGGTGTAATTGAAAGGAATCATGAGGGCATGGAGAAAGACATACGTTTCTCCTATCATTCTTTTCAGGTCGCCCATTTGTTGATTTGAGCTCCCCTCTTTAAAATAGGTTGCCCTTCTCCAAAATGTCTGCCGGATCTTTCATATCTCCGTACATAATGCATGATCGTGTGAGTAACGTGTATTGAGTCATCAAACGGCACATAAGAAATCGTGAAATTTAACTGTACTCTCTGAATTTCAAGAGATCAATTATGCATTCCTGAAGTGGTTACTATATCTCCGGAACTCTTGGGGTGCCCAGGGTAACTATAAATACTTCAATATCACGATAAAGGATAACCTAACTACAACACAAAATACACAAATACATGACTTCTCAATCCTTATGAACTAACTCCAACAATTTTAAAATCTCTGAGAGTCCTTAACCATTAGGATTGTCACACATTTGTACTTTTAGCGAGTACAATTTTATCTGAGTTGAAATAAGTTTTTTGTGATCTTTAACTGAGTATGTAAGCTCAAATTGGAAAATTTTGATGATGAATTTGAGTTAAATTTTGAATTATGTTTTGACTCAGTTAAACTCATTTTACAGAACAGTAAAATGTAAAATGTAAAATGTTACAAAGTGAACTTATGTATCGGAATGATGTAGTGTAAAACAAATTTACATCTCCCACCCGGTTATTCAACACCATAGCATATTTAAAGACTAGAACAAATGATTAAACACTGAAACTGAATTCATGAACTCTTCGTCCGATTCCAGGGCAATCATTTTTTCTGGTAAAAGACACACTTCAAGATCTATACTCCCTCCTCCTTCTTGTCCTGGATATGATGTTATTTTCCCATCAAATTTGTTAGCATATCCACTTCTAACAGCTAATGCTTTCCCCATTCCAAATTCATTCCCATACATATTAAACCTCGGTGAACTACCCATCAACACAGTATAACGATCAAAGAGCAGATCCCCTCGATACACAATAGGAGCCTGTAACCACTTTTCCACGGATCCCCGCACCACTTTATCATCATGATTTGCAACAGCCATATGAACCTTCCAAGCTGCCCATCCTAGATCATTCTCTAGCAAGTCCTTTACCGTTGTTGTTTCGGTACTCACTGCATGAATTGAATTCCCAAAATATTCCATAGGAAGAGGTGGCTCCATTCTTGTTCGGTTGTTTGTAGCCAATTTGCAAGTAGTTCTCTGATCATGATGTAGTTGACGTGCACGAGTTATAGATCTCCAAACTAGTGCTGATAGTGATTGGAAAGAAGAGATTTTTGTTGTCTTACACTCTTTGTTTGCCTTTGCTTTAAGTTTTGCTATAGACTCGGCTGAGAAATGGAAGATTCTTTCTCTCAAAATGGGTGTTTCATTCCTGTGAATAAACTCGTCATGATGTTTGAAGGGAAGGTTGATAATTGGGCCATAACCTTCTGGAAACCACCTATTGTGAATTGGTTGGTGTGAAATGGGATCAAGAAGACTAGCATCATTTTGAAATGTGTCAGAAAGTGTGTTAAAGAAATTCCAATAAGCAGTTCCATCACCAATAGAGTGGTTCATGGAACAAGCTATGAAAACACCATCCAATAATTCAGTGACTTGGATAGACAACAAAGACATGGTGTGACCATCATGGTTGACTGCTTTGTGGTGATCAAAAAACGATTGAACAATAGGTGGGACGTCAATGGGGGATAGGATATCATCTATGGTGATATCTAAAGTAGCATAGATGAATTTAGCTCCGGGACTGTTTTTACAATCGACAAAAACAGTGTACGAAGGAGGATCTTGGGTTTTGTGTGTAACAAGGCGACCTGAGAGGGGATAGAAATGGAAAAGTGTGAGAGAAAGAGAGCGTTTGAGTTTTATCAACAGATTCTCGATAAAATCTGGCTGATTAACCAATGATGATGTTGGTTTTTTGAAGAGAAGTCCCTTTTGGATATAGTTGACAGATAACATGCCAATATCCCAAGGTGCTAAATAGCATATTTGATTCGAGTCTTCGATTGGGGGATGTGGTTTGATGAAGCATTCAGAAATGTGTTTTAGAGGAGGAGTGCTCATCTTTCTGATAGTCAACAAAACTCAAAACTCGTGTTTATGTTAAACTGAGAGAGTTCGTTTCTTTTGAAGATAATTTTGTTTGACTCGTTATTTTGAAGATAAAAGATCTGTGGTCTGCATATAATAAACAAATAAATATAACATAATATAATAGATCGTGCATGCACCTGCACTCCACCGCCAAAATTGTATGGTGTGGACCCACCGCCAAAATAGTATGGTCAATAAGGTGGACCTGGATTTCTCAGCAGACTGCAGGATCCTGCATGTGAAATTGTAAAGGTTATTTATCATTCCAAGTAATCACGGTTCTTTTTTGGGTTTGTTTGGTGTTAGGCAGAGCGTGTGTATCCTTCTTGTTTACAATCTGATTTGGGGAAGGTAATCATCGTACAAAAATGTAAATACAATCTGATTTGGGGAAGGTAATCATCGTACAAAAATGTAAATGAAGAGAAATACTAATTAAAGATGAATTTTCATGACTGCATTCCATAGAAAATAAATCAAATAAAATAGGGGTGACTCACTCTTTCAAAATCGAGAATATTTTTTTAGTTTCGCAAACAATTAGGAAAAAGATATAAGGGTGGGAAAAGAAATTGCCTTAGTCAATTTGTTCAACTCCCTAAAAAAAATATCCGTATTAATAATCACCATATTGAAAAGATCATTTGGATTAATTGTCTAGGTTCTAAAGAAAAGGTGTAAATATATAAAGCCAAGGTTGACTAAAAAGGGCAAAAGAGTCTGGATTTTTTATTCAGCTTTATATCTAGCATATCCTTTTCCCTTGTTACCTTTTTGTTATAACCCTAAACAACCGAACCATAAATGAAAGTCGGACTGAAACAATGTCAACGAAGTCAAATCAAATAACCAAATTGTGAAAAGGAAACAAAACAAACCACAAATCAATATGCTAGCTAATCCAAGGAAAATCCAAGGAATATTGCTAATCCTACAAAAAGCCAGAAACACAAAACTGTTACGTTCAAAGAACGTGTGGATCCCTGTAAACTGACAGTCAGAGTCTAAGACTCGTGATTGTCATTAAGAGAGAGAGAAGCCAGTTGATCAGCTGGGCTGTTTGATTGCTGCTGTGCAACATTTCTCAGCACTTCCACGGCCTCAGCAACTTTAGTCTTTAGAGCCTCTGGTGACTCAATCAGATGCAACACCTCAGGCTGATCCATTTCCAAAAGCATCCCAGTAACCTTTGCAGCTCCACCGTGTTCAATCTTTTCTACTAGCGGGTATAAAACTTCACCAAGCATCTATGAATCCATTAATGAAAGAGTCAATATGAGAACAACATCCTAATGCACATCAAACGATTTAGTAATCAACCCAAATGTGAGGAGAAAATAGCCAGAAACAGGTCTTACAGTCCTCTGCTGTTCAGGAGGAGCATTTGCAAGGGCTGTAGCCAGAGCCTGAATGGGTGTTCCTCCCGTTACTCCTGGCAGCGGAATACCTTGCAGGTTGCGACCAGGAGGAGGGTATCGGTAGACGCGTCCCCTTGGAAGCATCTGAAAAAACCAACAAAAAGCATCTCAACAACAGGCATAAAGAGCATAAACATGAGAAATAAAACAAAATCCAAGATGCTGTGCGTGAGCAGACCTGTTGCTGCATCATTGGCAATGACTGTGGGAGTTGATGAATAGGACCTGCACCTCGCCGTCCGCCAGGACGCTGGCCTTGTTGACCCTGCTGACCCATGGGCACAAAGAAGTTTGGCATTGGAGCACCACCTGGTCTCATTCCAGGGACCAGTTGCTGCGGGTAACCAAATCCAGCCTGCATTTATTATTGCTCAATTTCTAAATATGTATTCAATAAAGAGGATAAATTGTGTAAAAAATGTTCAATTATAATTGCAACACAGATGCAAGAGTAATAGAATACAGCGGAACTTATTGCAGCAATTTTTGAAATCACAAAACTTAAAAACGTAAAGAATTGGTCAGCTAATGCAGAATTTGACGACAACATTTCATCCACAAAAAACATTGAGATCTTCTAATAACATGATACCATGCTGTATGAAAATTTACAAACAAGATTATTAACTTCTATAATTACCTGAGATATGAAGGCTGGAGGAGCTTGGCCATACATGATTTGTTGTCCCATCCCTGGAACTCCCCCAGGGTAAAATGGCATTCGTGGTGCAATAGGAGCCATTGCAACCGGCCTCACTTGTGAAAATTGTGCCTGTAGGAAATATGTAAAAAATGTATGCAAGAAATAAATGAAAATAAGCAATATGCTAGGTGGATACCTTAGGTGATCTCTTAATAGTGGTTTCTATTTTCTAATTTTGAGGAAAAGAGATGAAAGAATAGAGTAGTAGTATATTTAACGAAGACAAATCACCAACCCCTATTTATTCTAATATTAGACTGCTATTCCTAATTTTTACTCAAGGAAGAGTACAACATTCTTAAAATGTATCAACAAAATTATGAGAAATTTTATAGATATTCTAACATGAATGAATAACACAATCGATTATTAGATTGTTATTCATAGTCTCTCATTTATTTCTCTTAAACAACTCTACCTAAAACCCTGACAATTTCAGTAATTCACAACTGGCGATATATGTAATTGTTTTAGATTAATGACTAAATCTTTCTCCTGATTCTAATTGAAATATGTCCATTATCTTGCTTTCCTTCCCGCAAGATAATCTGATAATCTGACCATCTCTTGAGTGATCACTCCCTTTAAGTCTTTCCATTTTGCCAAATTTGATGGAGTTGTGGTTATTCCCAATCAAATAATTGTGCTTGCAACATGAGTAATTATAAGTTTATAACATAAAACAAGGTTTAAAAATGTCCTGTGTATTGAATGACTATAAATCCTGCAACACTATATGGGACTGAAAAATAAACCCAGAATTGCAGTGGATTAATTTGGTGAAAAAAAGATAAGATTATCAATGAAAGCATTTAACAAAAAAGATGGGGCAGCATCAGTGGTGGAAAAGATGGCAAAGTCACTTTAGGTGGATTAAGAATATGTGGATAAGATATACAGAAACACAGTTTAAGAGGTTAACCCAAAGAGATGATAATCCAATAGTTCAAAATAAAATATGAACAATTCATTATAGGACATTATAGTGTTATTTGATCATTTTGATCGACTGGCCAACCCAGCCAAATATATAAAAACTTTTGAGGATATTGTACAACTTTTAAAGAAGAATTTTGCTACAAAATGAAAAAAAGTGTAATTTTTTAATTTAAGTAAAAGAAAAACATGGAAGCACACAAACTAATTACCCTCCATTGTTAGTGAATCACTATTAACAGGGGAAGCAATGCGGGAATTTTTGTTTCTAAAGATCAACACCCTGTAATTGTAAAGTAAAGAATTAACTGTTAAACCATTGCTGCACGATATTACCTGTAACCTTGCTTTTCTCTCTTCCTTTTTCTGTGCAGGAGCGACGTAGAGAGGTTTGCCAGCAACCATTTTTCCATTCATCTCAGCAAGCTACAAGAAGTAATAGATTTGTATATGATCAATGAATTTCCCTGTCAATTATTATATAATACTCACCAGAATCTTTATACTTACAGCTCGAGTTGCTTCCTCGGGAGTTGAAAAGGCAACAAATCCGGATCCCCTACTGATTCCCTGTGGATCTCGCAGAATCTGAAAATCACAACAAAAAAAAAAAACATGTTTTAAAAAGATGAAGGTTAGACAATTGCACATAAGAACAGAAAAAGGAGCCTTATTCACACACCTTGCATGAAGTTACTGTACCAAACTCAGAGAAGAGTTCGCTAAGCTTTTCATCGCTGACACTATCATCCAAGTTTTTGAGATACAAGTTGGCACCATAATATTTGTCCACAGTTTCCTTTATACTCTGCTCATGTCTTTCTTTCAGTTCAAGCTCCCTTTCATACTTTTTCAGGGCTTTTCCAACATACCACTCCTTGTCATCAAATTTCTTTCCATTAAGTGCCTCCACAGCTTTAGCAGCAGCATCTGCATTTTCAAAATTGACAAAACCAAAACATTTCGATTTACCATCTACATCTCTCATTACTACAGCACTAGTAATAGTTCCATATTCTCCAAAAATGCTCTTCAAGTCATCATCAGCAACTGCCTCTGACAGATTTTTCACATAGACATTATTAAACTTTGCAGTACTCAAGGTGTTATCTCTATCCTGCTTCCGTTGGAAGTGACCAACATAAACAGGCTTATCATTAATCAGCATGCCGTTTAACTTATCAATTGCACTTTGTGCAGACTCTTCATTCTCAAATTGCACAAAACCATAGCCTTTAGACAGGCCAGAAGCATCCATTGCTATCTTGCAAGAGAGAATACTTCCAAAAACCGAAAAAGTATCATACAAACCCTTGTGATCGATTGCCTTATCCAAATTCTGCACCATCAAAAAATCACAAGCTTCAATAAGAGAATTATTAAACACCTTGCTTGATGAATAGAAATTCAAAAAAAATGAAACTTCATATATTTAAACAACTAAAAACAACAGTTTAAAAATTCATCAAACGAGACGAGACACTACCTTGATGAAAATATTTGCAGCACCACTCTTGCGAACACTAGGGTCCCGATGAGAATACATTATCCTAATCGGTTTGTTGTTCAGTGGAGTGAAATTCAGCACATCCATAGCCTTTGCAGCTGTGGGACAGTTACATTTGCAAATCAATATCAAAATAACAATCTACACAAGAGCAGATGAGGCTAAACCTATGAAGCACGGACGCATATGGAAAAAGACTCCGAAACTCACACAGACACACAGAACACAGTAGTAATTTGAAAAAATGAATAAATTAAACGTAATCACAAGTGTCGGTGAGGTGTCTGATACCGACACAGACACGAAGACTCGGTCCTGCATAGGGCTAAACCTAACCATGCATTTTATTTTATTTTATTTTTGATAACATGACAAAAATAAAGTATCCATAGAATTTATGTTATCA